AAACATGAAAACACACTAAGAAATGACATATAAAAAGTAGATTAGCATTTAAAATTTAAGCAAGTAGCTGGCATCACACGTGTGCCAGGGGCAGACCATATGGGCAGAGTGTTAGCAAATAAATAATTCAGTGAAATTTGACCCAAAATCTCCACAGTTGCTCATTAATTAACTTCAATCTGGGCCTTGAAGAGGCACAGAATAATTAAAGCTAAAAGGCCCACTTGTGAACTTTTCCCAGGTTTTTATCGAGTTCACATGTCAACACTTGCATCTGATGAAGACCATGTGATGCAGCTGAAAGCTCTGGAAAAAGTCAGCAGCTGGATCATGAAACTGATTAGAGGACACTGTGATGAATGAAAATAATGTAAAAATACAGCTAAATTCTAAATACCGTAACATCTGATGGGTTTTTTTTTTTAGCCAAAAACAAGACATTACCGTTTACTACAATCTACTGTAGAAACTGACAGTGTGAATTAAATAAAACACAACAAAACATTGTATTGTTCAGTAGTGACCTGATTTAGGCAGCCAGCAATATAATTGATAATTTTACACTGATGCCCTGAGATAAATCACTTTCACATTGTTTTTTTTTTTTGTTTTTTTTAATTAACTTAAGTGATTTTCTTGGTTTCCAAAGATATATTTAATAGGCCATCATTTATCAGACAATGCTGTGTGTACCCTGCATTTCCCATTGTTGTTTCAGGGGTTTTTCTGGTTCATGCATTTTTAAATATTAGACAGTGTTGGTTGATCTCAGTTTGGGATCATAAAGATTAAATATTAATGACATCCCAGCAAACAGGAACCTTCAGGGAATTTCCTTGTTCTCTGGGACTGTTATTTGATGGTACATGTCTGCAGTTCACAGTAGTGTTTGTACATTTTTGTTTCAAAAAAGAAATTGCAGTTTACAGGTAGCAACACAGCTGTGAAATGGTGTTTTTTTTGTTTGTTTTTTTTTTTAAAAATATATCTGCAAAATATTGAGATTTTATGCTGATTTAAATAAAGTAAAAATGTTTTGGTTTCAGGTTGTTCAATGATGAATTATCACATCCATCCATCCATTATTTATACACTGCTCTATTCTCTGTTGGGTCACGGGGGCTGGAGTCTATCTCATGATGAATTACTATTTGTGGGAGAAAAAAAAATCGTGGCTGAAAACTGATTTACCATTGTTCAATCCTTAATATACAAACTTTTTTTTCTTGACTTAAATACAACAAATTTTTAAAAAAGTGTATTTTTCTGGTTAAACATTGTAAATGAATGAATCACTTCATTTCTTAAAAAAATATATAGATTTTTGATGTGGACAGTATTTATTGTTTGGCCTGTCTTTCTCAGGGTTGTCATGTAAATTAATATTTTTCATTACTTGTTATTATCTGTGGTTTGACAAAGATGGTAAAATCTGCAAAATGACAGTACATGTATTCACTAATCATTTTCTTAAAGGGCAGTTAAAGTTACAGTTGATAACAGTGGCAGCATCATATAATACAGTATATTACTGGGAAGTCTAGTTACAGTATTCAACTGTAAACTTTATGTTTGCCAAAATCAACAGATTATAGATTTCAGCAACAACATCATTCTGACTGGTCATTTTGAGTGCAGTTCTGACCAGTTAGTTCGAGATATCAGTTATATCTACAGCTTGCTGTCTTTGCAAATATGAAATTGTAATCTCTTGTAAATGATGAAAATAGCTGCTGCAAGACGGTAGATGAAAGACAAACAACATTTAGCTTTGTGTGCTGAACATTACAGATGAATCGCAAAAGAACTTCCATGTTGGGGACACAACAGAGACCAAAACAGAAAGTTGCACATAGCCTCTTTGCACTGTTCTTTGTATATTAATTTTTCCAACATCAGTACATATGAGCAGACATTGCATGTTTTTGTTTTACAGTTTTTCTGGATATGCCCTTTTTTGCACTGGAATATTTGTCAACCTCCAGATGAAAGATTAGATGTGAGTGACGAGTGTGTATGAATGAGTGTATTCTGTAAACAGGTTAATCAGACAGTCAAACAACTTGTTTATTGCTGTATATGACAGTAAAGCCTGTGAATCTTTGCCCTTCCAGTTGCCCTTTTAGTTATCAAGTAGGTGCTAAATAGACCATCGTTGTGTCTCTTAGAGGCTCAAAATGTGAGGAATGTCTTGTACGCTTCAGGTATCCTTCATATTATGGCTTCAGCAGTAACTCGAACATGCCAGACATCTGTGAAAGTCTCGTTCTCATGGTGATGTTTCTTCTGGGAAGCTGAATAATGTTGCTAATCATTCGAAGTTAAACCATCGCACAAAAACAAACATGCTAAAAGCGGATAATCAGATCCTTCTAATGGGATCATTTGCATATTTGCAATCTGAGCGGGAGAAACTAATTTCCTTAATACATACACCCTGTTTGACCTCTGGCCCCTCAGCGTTTGACCTCCAACTGGCAGCAGCATGCCGACCAGCTCAGGAAGCGCTCCCTGCAGAGAGCGGGCGGCCTCGTCCTAATGTGGGCTCTGACCCTTAACCTGCCATGTGTATTGATTGGCAGCTGAGCAAAGCAAACAACAATGCTGCAGCCAGAGAAAACAGCGGAGGTGCAGAGCCTTTTGACATTTACCAGGTTTGCTGTGTCACTGAAGCTCGTTTTGCTTATAAATGTGCTTTTACTATCATCACAGTTATTGGTGCTGTCAACACGGAAACCAGAGCTGTGAAGATTTTCATGTTGCAGTTTGAGCTCAGCAGTTTGACCCTGTATGAAAAAAATCTGTAAAAAAAAAATAAAATAAAAAATACAACAAAAAAAACAAAAAACAAAAAAAAAAGTTAAAATCTGGCAGCAAGAATGCAAAAAAAAAAAAACTTACAAAAAAAACCCATGGATAAGCATAGCATTCAACAACTGTAACAACAATGAAGTTAATGAGAAATATATGTAAAATAATGATATTTTATCTGATTTAAATACGATAAACATTGTCATTTTATGGCCATGCATGGTAAAAGAATGAATTACTATTTATATAATACAGATTTCTACAGTTAAAGGGCGGTGTTTTACAGTGCATAGTTGGGCTCATTTGCAAGGAACAGTTTTATTTGGTATGTAATGCACGTGTCTAACCAAAACAGTTTTTTTTAAAAAAAAGATTTGAGAATTTTAGACCCTCAAAAACACCCTTATTTCACCTGTGAAGCCATTTTAAGGGTTCAGTATGTCCAGATAACACTCCCACAGCCATGAAATTTGGTGAGCACACAGACAAAGAAGAGGCAAAATTTTTTAACTCTGGTCATTGAAATTGGAAGAAATATTATATTATTTGAATGAGGTTGCTCTTTGGGCCTCTAAAAGTACCTGTGAGTGTATATTTGCTACTAAAAGTAGTCTTTGGCTACATGTTACCAACTTTTGAGGCCTCTAGCATCAGTAGAATTTGATGTGTGGCAAGTATACGAAGCCGACTTCCAGTTCCAGTTTCTTGCTATTTTGGAAGTCAAAATGTTGAAGTGGACTCATTTAGTCAAACACATCATGGTAAGTACTATACCAAGACAAGTGAAACAGAATTTAAATGCTGTACTAAAAGCAACAACAACAACAAAAAAATGCCAAAAAGTCGTCATTCCTCAGTGGATTTACACTTAATGTATTAGAGGAATGTAGAGGTATGTAGAGGAATTTCCTAAAAGCCATTTCAGTGTTTCTGTTTCTCTTAATGTCATGTTTCCTTTTGTATTCTTCTCCTCATAGTATTGGGAGCTCACATGGTGACAGAACATTACCTATCGGCACCAGCAGATATCATCAGATGGAGGTGACTTGATGCAGCTCATCTGCATGATGGTAAGCGGTGGCTGGATTCACCACTGGCTGGTGTGAAGAAGACCAGGATGCTGAGGGAAGGTTCATGCAAACAAGTGCTGCATAATTCAAGTGGACTCCATCCATTTCTATATATAATTAATGGATAGTGTACATGGTTGGTGGTCATCTTAACATTTGGGTCCTCTACAAGGCCTGGTAGTTTTCGGGTTCTGCACACTATTGGAGTCTTCTGTACAGAGACCTACATTACCTGGAATCTGCTGAATCAATCTTTCCCAGTTTTGGGGTCACAGCCCACTGTGGACTTCATTTTCTCCATCTGTTCCTTCAGCCCCTGGTACTTCCTGATCTTCTCCTGCTCCTTCTTCTGGATGTTGGGATTGCCACATCTTTCACAGCTGTACTCCTCTGGTCCTTGTTGACCACAACGATGTCGGGTTGGTTCGCCAGCTGCTGCTTATCTGTCTGGAACCTGAAGTCCCACACGATCTTTGCTTTGTTGCTCTTCACCACTTCTCAGGGGTTGGGTTCGTTCCAATACCCATACAACCTCACTATGCAGTATGCCAGGAAAAGATTTAGCATGTCTCAGTGCAGAGTATTTTAAAAGCAGTACGGCATAAATACGAAGCCGTCCTACAACAAGCCAGCATGCTGTTCTGCCCTTTTTTAACCCACAGTCCTCTGCACTGGAGAGGATACGTAACAGTGTCCCGTGTGAGTATAAACAAGATTAAGAAACTGAGAACGCACAGATAGCTCATTTCAGACTGTGACGGATATACGAGCAAGACAATCAAAGCTAAAGATGAAATGTTACAACAAAGTACTGTGCCCCAGTTGTTTGCACACTGCATGAAACAGTGTGTACTTTGTAAGGGCAGCTGCAGTACGTACTGAAAGTACAAAGGAAAAATATGTGATATGGAACGTAGCCATAATGTCTAAACACTGATTATTTCCTTGAGCAAGCATTCTGTCACTTCAGGCAGAAGTAGAAATCTATGACGTCAAGAAAAAATCTAACAAGCAAGAGAACAATATGCAATAAACCACGTAGCAGTACAGTGCTGACAACACTAACACGTCTACCGAAACAATAAGCTCAAAGGCACGAAAACACTCTCCACAATTCTCTTTGGGTTCATCAGGAGAAGTAGCTCCTGTTGCATTTTACATAATCACTTTGTCATCAATACAAAAAATGATCATTGCAGCTTTAAATATAAAAATCTGGCTAAAATCAACACCATAGAAGCCTTGTCTTTCTCTCTGGTGCATACCGTACAATCTGTAAAAATACATATTTTTAAATCTTCAACAGTTTGCTCAGTGAAATACTTGTCTCAGGTTAAACACGGCCTGTTATTTCTCTGTGTCTGACACGTACAAGAGGCCTGCGGCTTCTCAACGGCAGATAAATGAAGTGCAAATACCTGAAACAGCAGGGAGATAGTCTTACAAATCAGCAACATGTGCAGCTAACAGATCTGAAAGCATTATAAGCCTGGGAAACAGACATCCATAATAATGGCAGCTTCTGTCAGTCAATTAATGAATGACAGGTCTCACTGAGATTCTGGATAGAATATTAAATTCTAATCACCAAAGAGTGAAGTAATTAATTTCTAAAACTTCATTTTTGTTTCTCCACAGAAGAAAAATCCTGCTGTTGTAAACCTCCATAAACAAAGTGCTACAATCTTCATAATGTCCATCACTGTCATCTCCATCTAAGCCCAGGGTCCCCAGGCTCCGCTGGGGCCCGGGTCACACTTGGGGTCGTCATCCGGGAAGTTTATGGGCAAAGCGCTTTTCTGGTATTTCTGGAGTCTGGTGAGGAGATAATCGACTACTGCAGGGAACTGAGCCGATACTTCATTTCTCTCCTCTGGATCTTTTTCTATGTCAAACAGCATCACAGGCTTCAGCGGATCCACCTGAGAGGAGCTCGACTCGTTGTGGTCGGGTCGGGGGAACCAAACATCACAACCTGAAGGGAAAAGGATGAAGAGAATTAACAGCTTAAGTGCATTTACTCAAGTACTATGCTTACTGCAAGTACACGTTTAAGGTACTGCGACTGTACACGACTATTTGTATTTACTGTTACACCACTACATTTTAGAGGGAACTATTGTACTTTGTACCCCATGACATCTATCTAAAGGCTAACGTTACTATTCAGATAAACATCTTACATCCAAAAACATAATAATAAAAAGCTACAAGGTAAATTTTCTGCTTAAGGACTCCATCTGTGGCTCCTAAAACTGATGAAATCCTCTTGTTATGTTTCAGGTGCCCATGAACTGTTAGCAAAAAGAGGGTTTTCACTCTAATGCAAACTTCTCAGATGATTTCATTTAAAGGCACAAAGAGGTAAAGCGCTTTAAGATTTCACCAAAAAACTAAACAAAAATTTTTTTTTTAGAAAAGCAAAAGAAATGAATAGAGATTTATGGAGCCAAGCTTAGTTTTTTCCCCCTTCTAGCACATTAGTCATCTGACAACACCTCAGATTTATCTGTTGACCCTTCGGAGGGGGCTGCCCCTTCCGGCTGGAAACCACTCGACTGAGATCATGCCCACAGTTAACTGTGCAAATTCTTAAAAGCATCTTTTTCCATCCATTTTGCACCTCCACTGAGACTAAATTGACCAAAACCTGAGCAAATCAGTGATGGCAGACTTAAGTCTTTTTAGAAACATTCAAAAAACTCGTCAAGTGAGTGTAACACAAACATTTTTTTTTTTTGCTAGATTGTTCAAAGGCAAATAAGCAAGAAGCTACCGTGGACACAGACAGTATATTTCTTTGGTATCACCTATGAGCAGAGCTGGACACAGCAGCCGCCCGTAAACCTACTGACAGGACTCCTCCAGCTGTTAAACAAGGTTGGTTCAGATTTGTAAAACCTCCCCATAGTATAGAAAAGTGAGCTTTATTTGTCATCACATTGTTAAATCTATGAGCTGAGCTGTTAGGGGCGGGACTGACAGCAGCTGAAACGCTGATAAGTATGTGCTGTGGCTGCACAACAGGGAAGCAAACCTGGAGGCGAGAAAACTTCTGGCACAAGCCTAGCGATCCGTTTTTACTTAAATGTACGGGGGCCATCTTTGAATCCAGTTTTACTTTACACATCAATGTAGCTATTACCCGTTTTGACATTTTAAGGTGGACAGAGGTATTTGCTAAAACAAGATGAATTGCCTGGTGTGGACACATGTCAAGGTTGCATTCAAATGTAGCTGGTTTAAAGATCTCCTACCAGTTTTTGTTTTTTTTTACATTTTTAAGATTACATATGGTGCTTTTTATAGCTACATATAACTACCATGAGCAAACTAAGCAATCAACAACACCACAGCTGAGCTTTTCCACCTTTAACCTGCACTGTTACGATGATCGTCTTAAAAACACAGATTCAGAATTTCAGTTTTTAAATCTGGCAAACTGAAGAAACCAACCTTGCAGGGTGGGGCTTTCGGTATCACTTTTCTTCTTCAAAACTGTAACGTAACAACTTGCCACAGTGTTGTATAGAGTAGTTTTACAGTGTTTATGCAGAGTTGTAGGTGAGCTGGTGTGCTCGAGCTGCAGCGAGTGATAGAAGGGGGAAATAGGCAAGGACTTCATAGGGATCATTTTTGTAAGGAAAAACTCCTACATATGTCATTTTGATACACAGAGATGAGTTTTTAGTGGCTGAATCAACAACTGGAGAGATACTTTAATGAAGATATAGTTTAAACTACCTGAACTGTATACTAAACTAATTCAAACTAGCTTCTGCTCAACCAGTAAAATGCTGCATGCACACTGATAGACTGTCACATATAATAACATACCACAGTGCATGTAGCAAGAACTTATGACAATCAAGCACATTACAATAGCTGCCAATAGTCATGTTATTCAGTCATGCTGGACCTTTACTAGTAATTGAGTATTTTTGCATTGTTATATTAGTATTTTTCATCAAATAAAGGAGATGAATTCTCTGGTGGAATTCATTCTGCAAAATGAAATTGTAGAATGAATTCCACCAGAGATTAGCGGAGATAAGAGGTGAATGCATGCCTGTGTGTACATATGTTTGATTTTCCACTTCCCACTTAGACTAAACATGCGATTACAGGTGACAGAAGATACCGACCCGGGTAGCCAGTCAGCAGCTTCCAGTTTGAGGATCGAATGGCCGCGTGAAAGGACACATTGAAGCCGGAGTTTGCCCAGGAGTCTCCGCTGTGCACCTGAGCCAAAGTTAACCGCCTGCCAGGACCTGCAGAGAACAGAGGACAGAGCCGATCACGGAGGTCATCCGCCTTCAAGGGAAAAAAATAAGAAATTGAAATCGCTGATTAAGATGACATTAGGCTGCCAATGGACACAAAGCGCCCTCAGCGGACGTCTGTGTAAGCCACACGAGAATGTAGACTGGCACCAGTTTTATACTGCATACCTGGAAATCACAGTGAAGGTGTGAAAACAAATACACCAATGAGAAAGCTGACTTTTTGTAAAATCAGCAGTGAAACAGCAGAAATTGAGTGGTTTAAAAAAAAACAAAAAAAAAAACGTCAGAATCAATCCTTGTGTTTGAGAACAGGAATTGTTTTATATATAAATTTCCACAAAACACATGGAACTTTTGGGTGGAGGAATCTGACAAATATGGTGGTGATGTGGTCGAGTCAGCAGCAGTCTGCCATGTCTGCCAAGCACAATGAATAATTTGCCATTAGTGCAGTCAACCAGACATATATATAAAAAAAAAGAATAAAAAAAGTCACAGTTACCATTCTAAATAATTTTATCAGTTTCTTAAGGCAAAAGGCATTTATCCTTGTTGTGATGATGTCCAGAAACGTATGTAGCCTCCTGCCATGAGTTATGTCGGCTCTTACGGAAAATGTCTCCCAGAAGCACCACATGTCTACGTTTTAAAAAAAAAAAAGAGAGAAGAGATCTGGCCTTGGGAGTATTCTCAGGTTCATGCCGTGGCTGACCCTGACAATGTGGTCCTGATTAGACAGATTTGCAAGTAATTCCGGCCTCCTAAGGCTGTCAAAAACAAGTATTTCCTCACATTCTTTGCATAAAGACAAATACGCGCCCACACAAAGCCCCGCGTTCCCATCGGAGCTCGTTTAATAGAGCCGATTCCACCGCAGCGACATGACTGGAGAATTAAAACATTTCCGATCTCAGCGTTTTTGCGACCACATGATAAAAGCTTTGACATTGAATTCTTCAGTGATCGTTGCGCAAATGACATGCGGGTATCTTAATTGCTCTCACATGCATTAAGCTGGGTTGCTCAGTTTGTTTGGGTAAACAACAGGCTCGCAGGGCTACGACGCTGAATGACAATGGGGTGTTCAGAGTCAGGTGTGAACACGTAATGACGCGGGATGATAAATGAGCTGAACTTTACAAAAAAACATCGGGGTTCGATCTTCTTCTACTCTCGCCGCTGTAAAGGAAAAGAGGCCTCAAACCCCCCAAAACACACACTGTGTACACATGTTCATTTCTTACATTCATTCCTTACATGAGCGCAGGACAGGAGCGCCTCAAAGCAGGCCTGGCTCATCTGGATCCACAGCAGGATGACGGGTTTAAGAAAAAGCAGGGAAGGGGAGGAACAGTGGGAAGAGACCCTGAGAAGGCAGAGAAATTGCTAGAAGGAGAGCGGAGGAGTATGGAGGGGAAATTTGGGGCTGATTTAAAGCTTGGGCCAAGTCCAGGATTTCTCTCTCTCTCAACAAGCGAGAAGTTCAGGGACCCCTCTGTGACCCATTTAATCGGGATCCCTCAGCTTCACACAGCGACAGCGAAGAAATTTGAAAAGCAACTTGAAAAGACAAAAGTATGTAAAAAAAAGAAAAGAATAAAGAAAAGCCTTTTCATGAGCTAAATAGAGAAAGCCGAAGAAGCATGAAGAGAGAGTGAGAGAAAAGGCGAAGGAACGTGGAGAGCGAGGTCTCAAAGAGAGACTGGGTTAATAGGAAAAGAAGAAAGGGGAGAGGAATCTCAGCCTGGAATGCACTCAGGGAGGCTGCTTGTCACTGCGGTGGCCGACAATAAAGATCCAAACATAAAACATGAGGGCGAAAGCTTGTAAAGCAGCGGTGTCGCTCCTCGCCGGGTCCTCTTATCATCCCAATGATTTAAATGGTAATGACCGCCGGTACACTTCGAGGAAAATTTGAGCACCACTGGTTTAAGCTGTAAAAACAGTTCCATCTCAAAAACACTATAAATCAGTGACTGAACTTTCCGGAGACTTCTTCCTTTAAACTATTTGGATGTTTTCTCTTTGCAGATGAGAGACTTAAACCAACTTAAGGCTTTACGGAGCTCTATGATGCATTTTAAAATATTTAGCATCTTTCAGCGCTTTTTTTTGTTTGTTTGTTTTTTTCTGGTTTGAAAGCCTCCAGATTGAATGTTTTGGTCTCCCTGTTCAACCAAACAGCTCTGATTAAGCCAATATACACTTCCTGCTCAGCACCAAACAGATCCACATGAAAGATTAGCAGCTAGCTAGTGAACATCGTGCAGTGTTTGGAAGCAAAACAGACAGATATCTACTGGAGTAGCTGGTGGAGACCAAATTAGAGCTAAAAAAAGAGAAAACCATTGGATAAAAGTTTACTGTCAGGCTTGAAGGACTCTAAATGATTGTTAATGTTACTCTCTTATGTAGATAATATGTCAGTAGTCATGTTTCCATTGTGTGTTCTTATGTGTGTATCTTAAAGGATTGCGTGAAAAATTAACGGAAATAGAAACATTTGAGAAAAAGTTACACAACTTTGCAAGAAAGTTTTAATGTTTTTGTTTACTTTCTTTTTAAAATACAGGTTAATGTGCTTCATGGGAGATAGAAACACCTTTATTTGGGCTGTTTTGTTGTTTTTATTGCACAGCATCAAACATGACCAACACCAGCCGACATGGAAGAACAATTACAACTTCCCTGACTGAAAACAATTCCTGAAAACTTTTTTTTTTTCTCTCGTAAAGTACTGTTTGGTTTCTTCTTTGACTATTTGAAGCAGTTGACTCACAAATATGTCTATTATAGCCATGTGTATCGCAGCGTATACCGCCACCTTCTGACCTTGTTTACCAGCACTTTATCGAAGCAGTTTAGGAAAATGTGCCTGATTCGTGTCGTATTTACAGCCTCTTCTGCTTTCTATAAGTGGCATTATCAATTAATTCATGCTGCTTTCAAGCTGGTTCACTTACTCCTTTGCTTTATCATTTAAGTTTGTACATAAGAAAGGTGTTGCTGAACTGTCAGCATGTACATGTTACAAATCAAAGATCAGCAAGTCGTCAGCTAAATCAATGCACATAATGAAAGCGAGTTTGGTCGCGGACAAACTGGAATTTTCCTTGAAAGCTCAGCAAATAACATTATGCTGTAATTTCTTGCATATATTTCTGGAAGTACAACATTTGTACAGTTAAAAGCTACATATCAGGCTGTTGTTCACTGCAGGAACTTGCGGGATGTTTTAGGGCAGCCTGAACTTTTGTACATGCTCCACAAAAATGATCAATTCTTCACGAGTCCACGAGGGTGACGTAAATTGAGTCATCTTCCTCAACAGTTCTCGTGGACTCTTCCACAGGCATTCCCATACAACCCAGAATTTGTTTCTGTGCGGCGAGGATGCTAAGGCTATCTTCACCAGATCACACCCATCAACTAGATGGAGTCGCAGTTACAAGAATATGATCCCTCACCAGCTTCCCACCAGTGGACACTAGCAGTTGTGTTTGGAGGTGAAACTGAACCCAGATCTCTGTAAAGCTTAGCAGGCAAGTTTAAAGGTATAAGAAATTAAAATTCTAACAATACAGCACATTTCATGTTAATTCAAGTGGGAAGGCCTTGGCTGCTGAACATCAACTCAGAGGTGTGATGTGGACAAACGTTTTTTTTCAAGCTCTTATGCACTGGATTACCAAAATTGTAAGTCTCTAAGATGATGACTACTGTAGTACAAACTATTATCCCTTCATGGTAGATCAAAAGGGTCACATCTGTTCTCATGCCGACCCATTTTGTGCCCACTGTGGTACATCTGTGAGACATTTCAGCACAAAGAAAATATGTACCCCTCCTTTACCTCTGCTATTTTTGAACGTATAACTTAGGTGTAGAATCCTCCCCAAAGTCAGAAATAGTGGTCCCCTGTTACCTCCTCAGAGATGGAAGTGGTTTGGTCCACTAAATATTAAGTGGTTTAGACGAGAGTGGATCCACTCCACTGTGTTTCCCAGTAAAAAAAAAAAAAAAGAAAAAGAAAATAATGCAGTCACATGACCCGTTTCCTGGAAACCTCCCTGCAATCACGGAGGTCAAACGACGCACACCCACCCTGCCCTCAAACAGAAAACTATCTCAGATTTCAACACTGCTGACTGATTACAGCTTCAACAATGAGCGATTCCATTTTCAGTTTAGTTATCAGCATTCACTTTATGAGGTGTTAAAATGTGAGAAAAATAAAGATAATTAATAAAAACACTTTAGAACTTTGAAATCTAATTATAATGAGTGACTTACTGAAAATAAAATCACCTTCACATGCAAGTGTTTATACATTTCAGTAAACAAGCACACAAACCAAAGCTGGACATCCACCGATAATAAGCCAGCCCTGCGAGACTGTCCATAAACACAATCATAATCCACTTAAACAGATTTTAAGCACTCACAACAAACGCGGCGTGGATTTCGAATACTCTAATGAGTTTAGTTAAATGTTACGTAACACGCTATTCCTAGGCCCCCGCTCTACTTTGACTCGGGTCAATTGCATTCATGCTGTTTCGTGTTCGTGAATACAAGCTCAGACAATGAGTCTTTGATATTTGTGGCCATGCTGGGAACAGAGGAAAAGGAAGAATTACAACAGTAGAAGTAAAAGGACCACAGATCCCACACAGTGTGAACACAGTGGAGGAGGAGGAGAGGTAACATGAGGTTTCCATCATCAGGGGTTTATCAAATTGTTGCCGTTGCTGACGGATGAATAATGGCTCAGAGAGATTAAACTGACCTGTGCAGATTTCCTCGCACAGCTCAGAAACATGCTTGTTTGGTTAATTAGTGACTTAGAGTAAACTGCCTCCAGCCAGTAATAAACCAATGACTTGTCCAGTGGTTTTTTATCCCACCTTTCACCCACTGTAAGCTGGAATACGTCCCAGTCAGTCGTGACCTACACTGGACGAGCAGATAGATTTACAATAGGACTGGCTGGTATCACTTTAATCCGTTTCACAATCATTTCTATAGTTACATCAATGACACTTAGTCTGGGATTAGTTTTAAATATGTGGGCATTAAGGTAGAGGGATTTAAATGATTAGCACAAAATTGGTTTGGTGTTTTAGCCATAATCGTAATATCCTGCTTAAAGGGAATTTGGATATTAGGCCTCATAGTGTCTGTCTCATATAATCAATATTTTTAGTTCAGCTTTTTTACAAAATTACAGAAACAAATGATCAATACGTTAAACTTTTCTGTAGCTGAAAAAAAGCTTAAACTTTGCAAAAATTAAGAAACACATATACATATATATATATTGAAAAAAATAGATTGTAAACCTCTAAATCCTTTCTGGACATTTTTTTGGGGGGGCACCTGTCACATTTTCACTCACTGTGGGCTCATTTTTCACTGCAGGATAAAGTCCTGCACCTCTATGGAAACAGCACAACAGGGTTAGAAGTAGAGAGAACTCAAAGACTCTTTTGTGCAATATAACAAAGTTCGAATGCCATAAATTTTATATATATATATATACACACACACACACACACACACACACACACACACACACACACACACACACACACACACAAGGAAACCCAAGTTGAATATCTGATTATTACTTTTACAAAATCAACAACAATCTGGAATTAATATGTACCACATATTCCCAAGTTTCCACAGGTGTTATCAATAGAAAATGGTGACTCTATATATGGCAGATATTAACTGTTTACATCTTAAATTTGTTTCAATACTTGTCTCCTTTCTGCTCTGTGTACGCTGTCTGCAGTGTAGTTGAGCCAAAAATATATATTTTTTCAAATGGCTATTGGTCACGGCTAAATCACGAATGGCTTCACGGTTGTGTCGAGAAGTGCAGAATTTGTAGGAATCTAGGTTTTGTCAATAATGTACTTTTTGCATTAAAAAAAAAAATGAAGCATCACAATTTTAGGTTCATATTTGGTGTTTTCTGACAGAATGTCACATCACAGATGAGTAGTTCATGGACTGTTGGAAAGTTGAAACACCATCGATTCTTTCTGCTTTCACAGTTTCTGGTTCTGATCAAATGTGTTACTATGGTAACCTTTTTAAAATTGCCTCTCAGTTCCACTGGCAGGTTTTAAGGTTCAAAAGGGTCAGTAGATCAATTGAGAAAACAATCTGCATATTTCACAAAAATAAAAGAGCTGAAGTCTTTTGGCCAAATGCAAAATTGCAAACTTACATGGAGCGATGTCATTATACAGAGGGTCAATGTTGTGCAGCAGCTCCAGCCTGGGTGAGGCAAACCCTTTGCTGTAAGATAAAAGCAGTGTTACTGTTAAACATATGGATACACAACCAACACACACACACACACACACACACACACACACACACACACACCACCATGTCTGACTCATGCACTGTGAAACCCACTGGGATCTGTAAATCTGAACCAGCTGGCTGTTGTTCACCAGGCAGTCATATGCTCTGACCGCACTCCACCACAGAGAAAACGCACTGCTCTCACTGACCACAGTGTCTGATAACACAACTAAAATAACTCTCACTCTCCACTGCCTGCCTACTGTTCTGGGCCTTCGTTTGGTTTTTATTCCCCCGGCCGAGCTGTCAGGCCGCTGTTTTCTCTAACAGGAGAGCCAATTACAACAGAGTGAAACTGTAAAGCAGCAAAAACAAACAGCAGTTTGTGCCCCGTGTTGTTGTGCAGCTCACACGGCAATGCCAGCAGCCGGCGGTCAGCTGACGTGCGTCAGCCAATCGAGTCAAGTGGAGGCTGTGAGTAGTAGTTTGTGGTCCTGGCTAAGCCTCGATTTTCTGCTGGGGCTCTGCTACAGCCCTCAATTTCACCTCCTTCACTGTGTCCACATTTAGTTTACAAATATAATATGTCAGTCAAACAGGACTCAGTGACGGCCTGAGCGACGACCTGAACTCACATGGAAAGTACATCTGCGGTTTGCCAACAGCTTCATGTGACTGATCAATTCAATAATAGCTTCTCCAAAACACAAATGTTTGGCGACACGTATAATTCAATACATTACATTAAAAGAATTACAACCTCTCAGGTATGTTGCCACATAAAAGAATTTGCAGTAAAACTAATTAGCTGATCTAATAGCAGGCTATCTTGGTTCACAGAGGGGGGAAAAACTGGAGGGATGGAAGGACTACAGATTTGTGTGAGAATGACTGATGGAATTTCCTTCTCTTTGAGCTCCCATTGCCACAGTAACAAAGGGCTTATTGAAGGAGCAGGGGCTCCTACAAGAAAAAGGCAGAGGTAGCTGGAGTGAGAGAGCATGGAGGAAGGATCGGAAAGAGGCACAAAGAGAGGGCAGGCTGTCAAACTCAAGAGCTGGTGTCGCTCTCACTAAAAACTCCGGCCCCAGGCCATCTGCCACCCGAGAAACACAGTCAGCCGGGAATGCAAGTCCCAGATGAATGAAGCATCTCTGTAGCACAAACAGCTCACCTGATTGTGTCCCACACGTTGAATCCGTCCAGCGGCTTTGTGGTGTTGGTGCTGCCTCCTGCCAGGCCAACGAGTGTCGGCAGCCAGTCAGAAATGTGGATGAGCTCGTGGTTGACCCTTCCGGGTTGTTTCAGTAGCGGGCTGGCGACAAATCCCACTCCCCGGACCCCTCCTTCCCATAGTGACCATTTCCTCCCCCGCAGAGGCCAGTTGCTGCCACCGGATAGAGTCTGACCACCGTTGTCTGTCAAACAACCACAAGGAGAAAATGTCATGAGAAAGGTAATGAATTTGACATCAGTAAATATAAAGATAAAGGCCTAAAGATGACTGGGAGGTCTGTGTGCAGCGCGCTGAAAGCTGAACCAACATTTTAAATTTCCACCGGCTGTGGATTTCATGTAGGTTCCAGTTCCAGCGTCACTCTGCTACTCTGTGGAAATTTAGCTTCTAAATGTTGATCTTAAACCAGGCAAACATTTTATCTTTCCAGGCCGAAAGTAGACATCTGAGAGATCAAGAAAATAAATATAAAGCTACAGTGAAGATAAAGAACAAGTGAAGAATAATGTTTCCCCTGAGGTTTGTGTAAGGAACGGTTTTTGATCCGAATCACAGAGTCAGATGCTGAGCGCTGAGATCATTGATGAGGTCTGTGAGGTTGCACTTAGGCACAGTGCTGTTTTGAGCTGTTTGTTTGTCATTTAAGTATGACATGATGGTGTGCTAACATCTACTAATTAGTGCTATAAAGAAAGCACAGATGGGAATGTGATTCATTTTGCAGGTATTTGGTCATAAACTGAAGCACTGGACAAGTTAAGATCACGATCAAGGCCGATTTATAGGACATTCCAGCACAACAATGTCCACACTTATATGGCTGTGAAATCCCTCAAGGCTCCATCTTAGGACCCTTTTTATTTTCCTTATACATTGTTACATAACAGGGGAATTTGAATTTTATATAACATTATAGGGTCTTAACCAAAATATTAAAATTATCTGAGTAAATTTACATCATAAACAATACTTAACTTAACTTCAAACTTGTTCGGTAAATTTGTAACACCAATTTTTTTGACACCTATTTCTCTGTTGGAAAGGCTTGCATTAAACGGCTGTTGTTTTAACTGTGCAATACAAATAACAGTGATTTGATGGGGGCCTTTGATGATTTGCACGACTCCTTGTTTCCCTAAATCTCTACAACAGAGGCAGAGAGTGCAACGTTAGCATAAATACACAACAGTCAGATTAATAGGAAATATGACAAGTCCAAATAAACCAGAATTACTATTTTAACCCTTTCAAATCCAGACCACCAAACTGGGTTGAAAGGCATTTTATATATATTTATTTTGGGGTTTTTTTAATGCCAAAATTCCACCAAAGAATTGTTCGACTTTCTGGTGGTCTTTGAACTACACATCTGTGGCATCGTGCTCGGTTTGGAAAACGAACCAAATCTAAGCTTAAAATCGGGATATTTCATTAGTCACTTTATTCCTTATGTCTCGTTTAAAAATTCCTTAAAAACTAATCACTTGCATCAAACAGATTCTGTAAAAAACAAAAAATTCTGTGCTTCTCAGTGTGACCAAGAAGCCATGATTGACTCAACTATGGTCGATAGTCATGTGACAAAAATTCAGTAACTATGCGGATGAATTGAGCTGAACTGCAGTAAAAACATGATGGGAGCAAAAAAACATGCCCAGACACTACTTGGGGTGCCCAGAGTTAAGACTAAACTGAACTTGACACTTCATCTGAAAGATAACATGAAGTGAGACCTTATGGGATCCCATCCAATAATTGCTGATCAGTTTCACTGAAAGCCACAAATGTCAGGTTTATAGTGATACTTGAGGAAAACTCAGTGAATCATTAAAGTCAGTAGAATTCCTCCTCTGGGGAACATGAATGTCCGTGCAAAATTTTACACCAGTCTTCTCAACAACAGTCTGGAGCAAAGTGGTGGAGCAAGCAAGCAACCAGCCAGCGTAACCATCCCCAGAGCTGCAAGCTTGACTAAAAACAAGTGATCTAAGACATAAAAAAACAAGGCAGCAGGACTCATCGATTTAACAAATACCCCTGCATGACATCCAACCATTACACAAGTGCACACACAGGCGGTTCGACTGACTGTCATCATCCCAACACGTCGGTCCAGTATAAACACACTTGACCAATCGCATCCAGTCAGGGCTCCCGTTTCAGCAGCATGCAAAGTCCAGGAAGTAGTCTGTGTCGATTCCTGAACTGTTCTGGAAAAGGCCGTCTGCTCTTTAATGCCTTTTCAAGCTGCTTTGTCTCTCTGTGGGCCAATTCTGTCTTTCCAACTTCTCCCCCCCCAAAGTTTCCCTGCAGCTTTGTTGCTCATTTGCTTACAGTAAAGTCCCGGTGAGGCAGAAAATTTCATCATGAAGGAAACTCAGGGTGCAACAAGTTCAGGGTCCATTTCTTTTCTGTTACGTTTGACACCATGTGAGTCAGTGACAACAGCTTGACCGTGACAAATACAAACGAGACGCTGGAAATGTGACTTATAAAAACCACTGATAGAGTTATTTCTGGTCAGGGAGGATAAAATTCTTCTGGTCATATGACAGATTACATAAACTCAGCATCGTATTTACACAGAAGGGGGAAGTAATTGGAGTTTTACCTCTGCGTCAGCTCGGCAGAGTCAGTGTCTGCCCGGCATATGGCTCAACCGAATCAGAGCCAACCAAATGTGTGTTGGAACAATGAAATAGGCCACCTACAGCAGCCCACCACAGGCATAAAAACGCTCACACTTTACTTCCACAGCATTGTTCCTGCCTTCTAATTAGCCTTTAAAACACAACTCCCCTCCCTAAAAATAACCCTCAAAGGAGTTACCTACTTCAGATGCGAATCATTAAGACGTTCCACATGTGGAAACCTGTGAGCGGCCACATGTTTAGATGCAGAGGTTGGAGCCTCATCTTGGCCAGATTATCGTCAAATCATCAAAGCTCTGTGGAGCCTCCAGAGCTCCATATGAAGACATGAGCAAAGCAAAGTTCTCCTTCTTTCTGTAAATCTCCATGTGAGCCTTAACAAACGTGCCTGTTTAAACAAATATAACAAAACACTGCTCTCTAGTGGACAACTGCAGAATTACTGAAGCTAATTACAGAGCAATTTCTTGGACTGAGAATCACAACCAAGAAAACACGTGGCTTATTCTAGTGATGCATTAATTCAATAAAGCTGTCGCTAAGCTGCTACCTGAACTCCTCTCACCCCTGGAAAACTGGCTCCGACGCTGCCAGAAAGTGCGGTTTTGAGTCAGCTGATATAAAATGTAATTAGTGGGCTGATTTTGTTTCCATTCTGGCACACTATAAAAGATTAAAAACTAAAAGTTGCAGGAAATTTCCAAGCGTTCCCGGAGACCTGATTATCCAGCCTGTGTGTAAAACATGATGCTGCTTCGTAGGTTTCAAGTCAAACAGTAAAAGCAGTACGAGGAGGTGATACCTACAGTACGACCAGAACTGTCGCTTCTTAAAAACACATAATTTGTCAGTTAAGTGAGAGTGGTTTAGCATGTTTTGGGATAAGAAATTTCAAATCTGCAATAATATTTGCTTGGACAAATATATTGTCATAGAGAGGTTTGTCTCACACTCTCATCAAAATTTCATCCTGGAAATCCTCCATACATATAACACACTTGTTTTGAGGCCACATTTTCTTAATTTAGCTCCTTCAGTTGCAGCATTGCATGCGTCTTTATTTGAGTAAAGAGGCAACTTGTGCCATCTACACTTGGATTTTAAGCGTTTAACCCTCTGAACCCCAAACAGTTTCAGTGTGTCTCATCTTTAACAACATGCAACATCTTGCAATATATAAATAATATAAACATAATATACATATATACTGACAAAAATGGTGACAACATGCTATAGTTATTTAGCTACTGACATTCTTACAACTGCTTCAAAATGGGTATTTTTCACTCTGCCCTGCTCATCAGTACTAAAAAGGTATTTCACCATGTTGAATGTAAACTTCCAACAACTTGCTTACAGTTAGCTCCTCTGAATACAGTTTTTTTTAGGTTTTGTTGCTTTTTTTTTTTTTTCCGTTTTTTTTTGTTTTCTTTTGGTTTTTTTCGTTTTTTTTCCTTCTTTTTTTCCCTTTTGTTTTTTTTAATCCCGGCTTGAATTTCCCCTGATTACCGCCCAATTTTTGTTCTTTTGCTTTTTGTTGGCGGTTGGTTAGTTCTTGGTTTTTTTTTGACTTAGGTGGCGGTTTTTTTTTTTTTTTTTTACTGAATCTGGTGCTGATTTTTAAAATGAAACATGAAAAAGAAACTGATTTGGAAATATCAAGGACTGTCAAAAAGTTGAAAATCTGACAATTCAGGACAGAATTCCTATCACACAAAAAGTGGTATTTATACAATGTCTCAGTGCAGAAACACACCTGTGGAGAACACGAGAACCGTGTTATCCCAAAAACCTCCCTGCCGCAGAGCCTGGGTGATGTTGCCCACCGCCTCATCCATGGCCGACACCATGCCGGCGTACAGCCTGCGATGGGGGTCTTTGATGAAGCTGTAGGGAGCCAAGTAGTGTTCTGGCACCTGCAGGGGCGCATGTACAGCCTGCAGCGCCACATAGAGGAAGAGCGGCTAAAAGACACAGAGGACACCGTGTAAAGACATAAAACAGGGCACCAAGGACAGAAAATCTGATTCTTCTTATTACAGATGTTGCAGAGAGACAGCTGTCAAGTCATTCAAAAATAACATGTCGCTGATGTTAAGGTTCTCACTGCCCAAGAAACAAATAATAAAATTCCAAACCTGCAGTTTATTCCTACATTAACTTTGCTGACAAACCAGCAAAAATGCTTTGCAACAAAAAATATTGTTTGCTTTTTTGGTGTCTAAAAAAAATCATTCTAAGCAGATTTTGACATAAGAAGTGACAAAAAAATTGTACTCACAAAGTAGCTGTTAAACTGATATTTGGAAAACTATCATGCTTTGTATTGTTGTGTTAGGTGGAAGTAAGTCTGCCGGTGTTCTAAATGACAGCAAAACCTTTATGGTTAAGGTCAAATAATACAGTTTTAATGATTACAAGAAGTTTACTGCTCCTTATTGTGGCACTGTTTGAGTGGGCATTCAAAGTGGTATCTCAAAGGTTAGAAATGGGTTTACAGGTTAACTTTATGATTTAGCTGTATTGATTAAGGTCAGGATTAGAGGCTAAGGATATCAGCGAGTGTTCTCACAGGTAACATTTATATGTGCACGTGTGTGTCACCTTGTTAGGATTGTGTTTTTCGATGATGCTGATGGCTCTCTGGCTGAGCAGCTCGGTGGAATAGACTCCTTTGTATCCGGTGGCGACCTCTTCTCCATCCCTCAGGTCCAGCGCACAGCGGGTCAGGTTCAGAGCAGAGATGTGATTACAGCGGACGTGAGTGTAGTAATCCTCGCTGCCTGTCAGGTAACCTGGGCAACGCAACGGGGATCAATCAGGACAGCACATCATTTTAAGCAGCTTGGCAGACAGCAGGAATAAGGTGAGAGGGTTACTTCATTTCTGCTGATGCTGTTTTTGACCTATTATTATTATTATTGTTGTTATTAAGAAGAAGCAGAAAAAGATCAAAGTGTAGTTGTCAAAATGAATTTTACAAAGTCACTTGCACAAGTCAATTCTGATAAAAAAAAATTCAACACAATAAAATTAAAAAATTAAAAACTAATCAGAAAGTCTCTGCTAAAAATACAAACAACAAATAAAAACCAGCAATACATAATTAATAAAATACAAATAAAAAGGATGAAAGGATAGAACAATCAGTCAGAAAAGATATAATTAACTAAAGAATAACTTCTCATGTAAACATCACAGGATCCTTGTAAATGGCTTAAATTGAAGAAAACATTTGCATAATTAAATGTACAGACAATTGTATTAATGTGCATGAAAATATTAGACATTAAATACAAAATGTTATTTGAAAACTATTAATTTATGGCACATATTTTTGTTTTATAGTGAACTTAATAAAACTCTTCCTTTGTTTTCCTTTTCTGATTCTTCTTGACCACATGTGAACCAAATTTCAGGTTGAAAAGTAAAATAGTTGAAACTACTTTTATTATTGACAAAACCTATAACACCTAGCACCTGTAGCACCTATAAACGTTTTATTTAACCTTTTTGTAGAATATAGGATGTCCCCCTTCATTCATTCAGTAAACGGTGTCCTCTTCACGTAAAAACACCAACAACCAGATCAGAGCGGCTATGAGTTGAGAAATTATCATCGTCTGCAGCTCTTATAGTGTGCCTTCAACATTTAAGGTTTAAAAGCAGTCAAAAGTACTCGTCAGATCTTTTCCTGCCCTGAATTTGGCTTCTCAGGTAACACATAAGCTGCCTTGCCTGCTATGCAGCATGTGAGGATGCCTGCAGACAGAACCCAGGGCTGAAAAAAGTCCCTATCTGCTTCTGTGGACAAAAGTCATCTTTTATTTACCTCTTAAAAGATCGTATCAAGTGCTGTTTGTCGTAAATATATAAATAAATTATTTATTCAGTTTAATCTCTCATCTCTTACAGTGGAAGTTAACTTTTTTGTAATAAAATATCATAACAATATTTAACAGAAAGGAATGACAGGGAATTTATACCATATGTGGTTATCTTTTCGTATACTGACACCAATTTAATCAGAATTCATTATCTGCTAGATATACATCAAGACATAAACTTAAACAAATGATGATATTCTTGTTATTCCCTGCCTTCTCCTAAGTCAGCTGGTATAGATTCCAACCCCACCATGACCCTTGTGAGGATTAAGTATAGATAATGGATGGATGGACTCTTGTTATTGCTGTTGGTAACATCCCTCTGACCAATTACATTCTTGACAAAACCTCCAGATATACAGTTCAGAGGCTATAAATTTCTGAGATTTTTACTTGACATTATACAAACCAAAGTATGTGTCAAAGCCCCGGCGGGTGGGCAGGCAGTCCTTCTTGTACATGCCCAGGTGCCACTTGCCCACCATGTGAGTAGCGTATCCCGCCTCCTTCATGAGCTCAGGCAGCAGCTTTTCATGCAGAGGGACGCAGTACGGCTGACAGGGCCAGATGATCTGGTGCTGCATGCCCGTGTGGATCTGACGGTTAAACAGCAACCACACACTGTTAGCAAATAAATCCACATCCTGTTGAAAATGGAACAAAGATACATCTAAAGAGGGAAATAACAGCCTCTGTGGCGACAGTGACACAACAAAAGTTTCAAAATAAACCTCAAATCAGGCGACATTGTCGTCTTGTTCTTCTTTCCATCAGCGATGGAAAATAGTTTTTTTTTCCCCCTTTGGGACATTCTCATAAACACAAAATTATTATATAAGTTTATGCTGAAACACAGCAAACAGTAGGCAGATACAGATAACTTTCTCATAAAAATAAAAAAACAGGTAGCAACACCTCATTCTTGACTCACAATGTCGACTAAACCAAAAAACTGCTTGAATCAGTCTAACTTATGTTATATTTCATTCTAGTCTGTGCGAATGCTTTGAGTAACTTTATAAAAAGCAAATTCAGAAATTCTCTGATTCCAGTCTATGAACCAGTTCTGGTTTCTTTCATCCTCTATGACTGAAAACTGAATGATTTTGGTTTGTGTGAAGAAAAACAAGACATTTCAGGAAGTCCTCTTGGGCTTAAGATAACAAATCAGCTCATCACAGATTTTTTTTTCTATTCAGTGTGTATGTGTGCATTTTTGTGTGTTGGTGCTTCCCTGTAGCTATATGTAGTTTTACTGTATATGGTAAGTAATGATGGCTATGAACTGAATTTTCTGTGTGTTTTTGTTTGTTTGTTTTTGTTTTTTTAAACAGCATCTGATTGTTAGTAGTTTTATATATTTGGTGTATTGTGTTTTGGGACTTTATGAGTGAACTTTTCCCCTCACCAGCACTTGCATCTCATCTCCTGAACTATTTAGGGTCAGTCTTCCAAATGACAAAAAAAAAAGTACATAAAAACAAGTATGATCATATATGATTCATATGACTACAGCAGTAAATCACGTAAATAATAGCAATTCCAAGGCACACAGTTAGAGAACCGCTGGTCTAGTTATCCTGCACTCACTGGTACGAATGTGGATCATTTACTCAGTTTAGAAAGAAGGAAGCATAATCTTATTTAACCTAGAGCACATGGTGTCACATCTCATATTAATTTGACTCTGTTAAAATCTGAGGTTTTCTGGGCTGTGCAACGCCTCCCATCCAGTAAACCATGACCGACCTCTGGGCCTCAGCAGGACCGGACCCACGGGTCCCTGCAGGCGGCAGGACCTCACCTGGTACCTCCCGGTCATGAGCTGGTTCCTGGAGGGGGTGCACAGCGGCTGGACGTAGTAGTTCTCCAGGCGGACTCCTCCGGCCGACAGTTTGTCCAGGTTGGGCGTCCTGATCTCGGAGCTGTGATAACCGACATCGTACCAGCCGAAGTCATCTGCCAGGACGAAGACGACGTGAGGCTGCTGAGCCGCTGAAACCGCTGGAAAGGTTAAGATGAGCCCCGCGATGATGACCCAGTGAGCCGCCTTCCCTCCACCGTCCACCGTCATTTTCTTATTTACCAACTTAACACGGCTGCTTTTAGTCGGACAAAGTCCACATGGAGCTTCGTTTAGCGGTGGAAGAAAGACTGAGGCAGCAACAGCATTAAAGTACTGTCCTAATGAGACGTTTTTACTGTAAGTAAAGGAAAATACACGCAGGACTTGTGAAAGTTAAAATCCGTCTCGCTGTCACTTCCCTGTTCCGCAGGTTGAAAACACTGCCTCGACTTCAGCAGCCAATCAGATCACTGGACTCGACAGAGAGTCACGTGATGTACGGAAGGCCAAATGAACACCGTTGGCAAAGAAAATAAAGTTAATACAAAAACTTTATACAACAAAACTGCATTACAACAACAATCCGATTAAAATGTTAAGAAATTAATATTATAGTTTGTCTATAAGTAATAATTTACTCATATTTAGGAGCCTACAATAGTAAATATTATAAATGTATTTTTCTTAAAATTCTTAATATTATTTTCTTGAATAATAACTATTGTTAAAAAAAAACTGCTATAAATAATTATATTGTTATTACTAGCACATTTATTTATTAAACTAAGTGGTTATTAAACTCGTATATTTCTGTACCACACTGTATTTCTATAGTTTATATTGATTAATCTATACTTTATGCTTACATTTATATATTGTTTACATTCACTTATGGTTGTTTAAATTATTTAATAACAATATTTGTTATTAATATTATTATCTACAAGATAACTGAATACATTTTTATCTTTCAAAATTGTTGCAAAGATTCCTCTAATCTACTTTCCAAATACTTAAATATAATTCTAATGTAAATGTGCTAGAAGTATGCTGCTATCAGTTTCCTAAATAAATAATTTTCTGTTTCTGTTTTGGACAATTGATGAGACACAAACAAACAAAATTAAATACTTACAAAGTCCACTTATTAACTATTCCAATCATAAATAAATGTAATGATGAAGTAGTAATATTTCTATTTTACATTGTATAATGTTAATATCACTACTATTATATTGTATACTATATCATATTGTGTGTAATTTCTGTAGTTTAAACAGTTTTATTGCTGTAAGGTGAATGTTTGCATATTACACACAGTTTACTGTGAATAATATAAACTACTGAGTGGAGAGGAGACAGCAGACAGCGAGTGCAATGCTTTAATTATCAGAGTATTAATGTACATATTAGTAAAAAAAAGATTTACAAAAGATTTACAAAAAATCTTTGTACAGGTTTGCAAACTCTTCTTTTGGATATTCGTGTTTTTACATTTTGTCCCATTTGTCACAGTCTTAAAGTGCTCCTCTGACTTTAAAAGATGCATCAGCATCAATTCTAATCATCTAAAAGGCACAAAAGGCAGATTTCATTCGATACATTTAGCACCTTTGTATCATTCAATTATTCTTCACATAAAGGAAACAGTTGAACTGTAAACCTTAAAGCTTCTATTCAAGGAATTATAAAAAGTCAATTACTCTTCCAATACTGTAAGACACTGTGGTGCAAGAACTTCACATAACAGCTGTTGTTGCTCAGAAACACGTTCATAAGACTTCACATAACCTGTTTTTGACTTCCTCCTCATGTGGACACAATAGGAAGTTTTGTTCCTAAACTGGCCACTGATGTGGAACAGTTCAGCACATGGTTTTCTTTCCACCTCAAACTGTTTATTATCACGAGGATTGTTCTTCAGCTGCTGAGAAACTGTCCGAGGACGGCCTGTGCTTATGCTTTGCCCTTTGACTTCTTCTGCAGCCGGGTCCTTGTGGGCTCGGTGAGGACTAAGGGCTCCTGGATGACCATGGCTTGGTATTTCCTCCCCAGCAGTTCCACCTCCACCTTCTGGCCCACAGAGCACAGCTCCAGAGGCAGGTAGGCAAATGCCAGGCTCTGCTGGCTGCTGTAGCTGTAGGCTCCGGATGTCGTGTTTCCGACCACCTGAAAAGGAGAACAAGACGCGCTGAGTGAGGAAAAACCACAAAAACAACTAAATTAAACTGGATTTGATCTTATGACTTTCCGTCGTTGCTAACCTTGCCATTGTGCCAGATGGTCTCGTTGCCTTCAGGGTCGATATCGTCCGTATCCAGAGAGATGTAGGACAGCTTCCTCTTCAGGCCCTTGGCTTTGATATCCTGAAGGGCTGCTTTGCCAATAAAGTCGGCAGGCTGGACGAACAAAGACACAAACAGCGTGTGTTCAGGTTGTGAACTTATTCCCAGTTAAATAGGAAGTACAACATGATATGTTGGACCTGAGCAGCACGGTTACCTTGTTGAGTTTGATGAAATAATCCAGTCCAGCCTCCAGAGGGTTGGTGTCACAGTTCATCTGTAGGAATCGAAACATTCATCTGATCAACAAAGAACCACGACATAGGCTACTTCAAGGGACATTTTGGGAAATATGCTGATTTCATTTGCTGCAGTGAGTCAAGACATCGTTAGACTGTACAAGATGGGTCTAATAAAATCTGTTGGCAATTACCAATAGCACTGCAAGTGTATAATTTTTACTTTCAATTAATCTGTTCCTTATTCTTTCAACTACTTGATCAGCTGTTGGATCTATAAAGATAATTAGCTTGCTGCCATTGAGGAGGGAAGAAACTCGAAAATAATCAAATTTAAGAAGCTGCAATTAGAGGATTTTTTTCTTTAAAAAATTACCAAAATTAATAGTTGACAACTAACTGATCCAACAGATGCTTAAAAAGTTGAATGTAAAATTTGCAAACAGCAGTGTGTATATCAAAGCTCAACAAGGTTCAAGTAATGTATTATACTGCAAACAAAAACTTCTTTTGTTTATTTAAAATGAATTTTGACTAATAAGTCAGGATAGTTAGGATAAGTGCACCATTTAGTTCATTTAGAGATAACATGCATTTCTTTTGTTATAAATAAACAAAAGAGAAATCGTGTTACTTAGAAAATTATAGAGGCACTGGTTGGTGGATTTATTCTTCAGAGGTGATGCTTTTGCTGACTTTGTACAGTACAGATACAGATTGAAAAGTTGTGGAGCAATATGATAGCCACATGTACCTAAGTATTAAAGCTGCTAGAAATCTCACAGGTGGATATTTCTCGTAGCTTTGGACAGAACCAGGCTGTTTCCCTCTGCCTCTAGACTTAATGCTAAGCTAAGCTAACTATGTAGCTTCACATTTAGCCAAGAGATTTGAAAATGGTGCTGATTTTCTAATCTCACTCTTAGCAAGAAATTGAACAAGGCTACTAGACCCATATGACAAACTATCCTTCTAAATGTCCTGTTTGTGTGTACCTCAGCTCCCCAGCCTCTGAAGCCCTTCTCCAGTCTGAGGGAGTTCATGGCGTACGTGCCGAAGTTGTCGATGCCCTCATCTTTTCCTGCCGCCATGATGGCCTGGTACACAGCTGCCAAGTTCTTCTGGTCAATGTAGAGCTCCCAGCCGAGCTCACCTACACACATGATAATCAATCAAAAAAATATTGATGGCAGGAAAAAAAACAAATTAAATAAAAATATTCACAATAAGTGAAAATAATGATATTTTTGAGATGGTAAGTAAACGCCTCAAAATTTTGACTTCAGAGGAAATGTTAAGTCAAAATTTTATCTCAGCAGCTAAAGTTTAGCATCAAAATCTCATAATTTTCTATTAGTATATCATAATTTAATCTGTGTAAGTCACAATACAGACTTCGTATCTAATATTTCTGTCTCATCATCCAGTGTTTTTGTCTCAGTAAGTCATATTTATGACTCATTATCTCACAGTTGTTAGTGGTAGCTCATAGTTTGACTACTAATTTATCAGTTTGTCATAATTCTGTTTCAGTTACTCATAATGACTTTAATTCTGACATTTTTCCCCTGGTATCTCAGCGTCATTATTTCGTGTGAGCATTTTATTACTCAGACGTAAAATGTCAAATTTTCATCCAAGCAAGTGTAAGCTGATGCAACACAACTAGTTTTCTGTATCTTGTCTAATCTTTGACGTTGTTTTCTTTCCTTAGCAGCTATGTGCTTCTCCGGATTGAGATTTCACTTGCTTGTTCTTGGTTGTCTGCTTTATTCTGTCCAATCTTAAGACAACAACACTCGTAAGTCACAGAGGAGAAAAATACTGAGACTGATAGAGTGGAGTGCTGTTCAGAGGCCAGCTCAGTGCATGAAACTGTTTTGTGTGAACTGTCATTTTTCTTCCCTTTTCTCTGTAACATTGTTGTTCAGCGTTACTAACTGTATATGCACAATCGGCCCATTCCACTTTTATTCAAGTGATTTTAGAGTGGGATTATGATGTCTTTCTGGTCGACCAATGAAGGACTTGATCTGTGAGACAAAAAACCCACAAAGTATACACTACCGGTGTAGGAGATCCTGATGGCCCGGACATTGACGCCAGCCAACTGGATGGTCTTGCAGTGGAGAAATTTGAATCCAGCGTCACTCATATCCTCATTTGTTAGTTTTTGCAGAACTTTGCGAGAGTTTGGTCCTGCAACGCCGAGCACACCTATATCATCTGTGACATTGCTGATGTCGACGTCATATCGGCCCTCTTTAGCTTCACTTTCTATCCACCTGAGTCAAATCCAGAAAGAAAAAAGGCTTTAATATCGCACTGTTAGCATCTCTGCAGATACATTTTTGCTTATTTGACAAAAACGCTCTCTGCCATGAGCTCTAAGCTTCACAGGCGTATTTGTGACCACCAGAGGTCGCTACATAATTTATATTCCCCTTCCCTTCTTCAGGCTGTGGTAGAGTTGGTTACAGTAAAGGAATGAAGATTAATGTTTTAATATACCTCCTCCCGATTGGAGCAAAAGGAGGGGGCGTTGAGTTAGCAGCTGCCGAAAGGTTTTAAGTTTCTGCAGTATAAAACTGTGAGAGAGTTTTATTCAGCACAGCTTGAGGCTCAACTCTGGCCTGGGTGTGGGAGACTGAGAACTGCAGAGCGTTTGCTTATCTGATAACACTATGAGCTCTGCGCAGAGGAGGTAAACACTGGACACACATGTGTATGTCCAAATGTGCTTCAAGATTAGCATATCAAAGTGTATGTATGTCCAAATGTGCGTGTGTGTGCAGTTTTGGCCATTAAGGACTAATTCATTTCTGCTAAAGTGCATGAAAATGCAGCTTTAAAATATGCATTTCTTCTGAATGTAGTTCTTAAGAAAGCAGAACACAGTGCTTCTGTAAAG